CAAAAACTTCCGACCCCCCATCTTAACACTTTTTGCGATTTTTGCATGGTTTTCGCGCGGATACACTCTTAAGTACTAGCAGTAACAGAAAACATAACAAAAAAACACCAGTGGCTTTGGTATATGGATGGTAAGGTTGGGAATCGATATGGAATTTCAATATCGATTATCGGCAAGAATTTGTCAGTGATTATCGATAATAATCGATTATCATTCTTCCGGAAAAACTGAACTTTACCGACCTATTATTTGTGTTGATCGAGTTACAGTAGTGCTATTATCCTAGTCTAATACTGTGCCGATGTACGTAAAAAAATCAATTAATGTAAAATAATTAGTTGCTAAATGTAGGATTAACTTGAGTATTATTCTAAGTTTTGTTCTTGGTTCATTTGAACCTTTTTTTATTCCAATATCTCCGATAAATACAAAGACAATACATGGTTTCTCTTTGCAAGTTACTGGCGATCACACAGTGTTACTAATAATAGAATAAAATATAATAGAAGGCGTCTATTGATTGGACAATAAAAAAATAATTACCGGCTTTCAAAGTAGAATTTTTATGATTGGTTAATTTTGACGAAAACCAAAGTAGAATTCTTCCAAGAAATTACGAGAGATATAGATATTTTCCAGGGAAGTCAAAAACGTGTTTTGTATGGGCTGTATCTGACATGATTTAGTAATAAAAGCTGAGTTGATCATTAATAATACAATTAGTTTTATCGTGAAAGCAGACAATTTCTCTACAAATCAATCAAGAGCAAAGAGGGGAGATAATTCTAATTTTACTATATCACGTGCGATCGTCATTGTTCACAAAGTGCGTGACCTATTTTAGTTTCAACTAGTAATAACAACAAAAACAACGAAAATATTAAAATAATGTATTTAATCTTAAAGTTTAGGTTTTTTTTACAATAATATATATTTAAAATGTGCCAGTTTGTAAGCAGAGGGGGAAAATAGTTGTTGTGTTGACGTTGTGTATTCGTTCATTCGTCTGCATGCCAGACTACGGCAAGTTCAGTCATGTGAAAGTGACCGTAACTTGCCGTAACCTGCTGTGGAGAAAACCCTTTCAGATGGCACCGAGGTTGCAGGAATTCCTAAGTACTTTTTGGCAACAAGAGACAGTAATGGAAATTTGTTCTCCAGAGATTTCCATCAGTGCAGACTGTTAGAATTTGCATCAATAGTAGGCTCTTTCTTGTAAGAAGAGATTTCATTTTTACATGCTTGTTGAGTGGAATATGATGGAACTACTTGTTTTTTATATTTATCACCAAACAGGGAAGACATAGCACTATTAACAGGAACATAGCTGTCATCACTTTCGTCACTTTTTTCTAAGACGGAATCATTATTATTGTCATTATCATTGTTATTCTGTTTGGATATTTTTGCAGGTGAAGGGCTATCTGGGTTTAAAGATGCACTGACATTATTTTCTTGAGCTATATTCACAACCTTTAATGATAAATTATAAAACACCTCCATTGTTTCTTCTTCAGATAAAAATGGAAGCGATTTAAATCTGGGATCTAGAACGGTGGCAATTAAAAGTTCAGATTTAATATTCTTGTATCTATTACTTAAGTCATATACCACGGCAAGCTTCATTTGCTTGATTAAATTTGTATCACCTTCCTTTGGACTCATAATCTCATTTAACAATCTATCCATCAATGGCATTATAATGGAAAGAGTTGGGATGTTTTCGTCACAGAGGGCTGTGGTAGCTATCTTAAGTGGACTTAAAACAGATACCAATTCTTCAGCAGATGTAATATCACTTTCCGATAGGGTAGAAATGTCTTTCTCTTTACCACGCAATTCTTTAGATGTGAGAGCTGCATATACAGCTGGTTGTTGCTCCAAAAATCTACTTGTCATATCTAAAGCAGAATTCCATCTTGTCTGTACATCTATCACTAACTTATGTTTTGGTAATTGTTGGCGTTTCTGTACTTCTTTAAATACTGCAGCAGCTACTGTACTTCTATGAAAATAGTTCACTATACGTCTTATTCTTGCTAGTAACAGTGACACTGAATTTATTTTAAGTGCTCTGCCACATGCCAAATTAAGAGTATGGGCAAAACACCCCATGTGGAAAGCAGCAAACTCTCTAACAGCCACAACCATGTTAGCAGCATTATCTGTCACCACTGCAGGTTTATTATGAATATCCCACTCTTGAGCAGCTTCTTCTACCAATGCAGCTACATTAGAGCCTGTGTGTGACTGTGGCATGAACGGGTCTGAAATATATGAAAATTAAAACATTAAATTTACCTTTATTTCAATTTGGTGGCTTAAGTTTCAAGTTTTAATATTTTTTTTTAATTTTAGAAACAGTGTTTGTGTTTTATTTGAGTCCAGGGAATTATTTATGACAACAGAAAGATAATTAAAACATTTAAAAAATGTGTTTGGGTTTATATTTTATTTGAATCTTACGAATTATGACAGAATCTCGGCAGGTTAGAAAATCCAAATTGACAATGACAGAAAGAGAAACTAATACCGAAACTTTCAAATTCAATATAGATAAAAAAAATAAGCAATTGTGAATACAAGTCAGGGTAACAAAGCAGCGAGCATAATATCAGGTAGATAGTACACTACAAATAAATAAAATATCACAATTATTTTTAACGAAAACCACTAGGCTATGCCAGAGATTAATACAAGCTATTGAAATTATTTTGTATCTCGATAGGATAATAAATTAATGTTACATTTCACACATAAATAGATTTATTAACTAAAAAAAATGTTGGACTTCACCTGTAAAACATAATTTTTCATTTCCCAATTTTCGTCTATGTGACAGCTTGTGATTGTTACGTATTATTCTGTAGCTTGGCTTGTCCAGCTATCAGTTGTTAAAGATAGTTGTTTATTGTTTATATCGTAAAGTACTTCACGTTTCACTTCCTCATAAAGCTCGGGAATTTTCTTTTCCAAAAAGTGTTGTCTCAATGGCAATACATAATTTGGCTCTAGAAGTAGAATTGTTAAATTCCTGAACCCAGCATTTTCAACAACAGAAAATGGCCTTAAATCTTTGACAATAAATTCTGTTACTCCAGCCGTTATAGACTTTGCTCTAGTTGAATTTGAGGATAATTTGTTTCTGAACAATGACATCGCATTGGGAGTTTTGCAGGATGATGACGGCCTACTGCCAAAATCACCTGACCCGAGTAACTGTTGAGAATCAGCTTTGGCGGAAAGCGCTTCCATTTCGGCAGGATGTTTTCTATTTATATGGTCCATTAAATTAGTTGTATTTCCACTGTATTTCAGTGTCATTTGGCAGATTAAACAACCAACACTTTTTTTGTCAATAATTTCACCTGTCTTGACAAAGCCGAAATGATTCCATACTTTTGATTTAGCTTTATCGTTTCTTACAACATCAAAATCCGCCAACATCAAAATCCGAATGCGCGATTAACCAGTAATATTTCCGCGATTCTCATAAACGAAGGAACTGTATGGACTGGGCTGATCGAGAAACAAATACTGACTTTTAATCTCTAATAACAACACATTCTCGAACACGTATTTTGGAAGTAAATATTTCGACAAATACGAGAAAATTATTTAGGAATTTGTGCTATTTAACTTTCACTATTACAAACTATCGAAACAATCGATAGTTTGGTTGACTATCGCAATTTTTATGATAGTTTCTTTTTACTATCAATACAGACTATCGGCAGTCAAACTATTTCGATGTCCGGCGACAAGTGAATTCCATCCTCCTCGTATGGATCTGCGACTGGTTGCCAAAATCCGGCTCTGTGTCGCCAAAAACTCAGCTCAGGAGTTTCCTGACATAAATTCATGATCGCATCGTTTGTTCGGGTAATATTGCTATTATAGTCTTCATACGGAACCGTCTGTCGCGGCAACAATTGTGAAATAATCACACATTTTGGCGACCAACCACTGTGAATATATCCCACGAAAGAAACAATATCCAACACCGTTCGATCAGGGCTGCTATGTACATCGGACAAGTCATTGGAACCTAAATGATCGTTCCCTTTAAAAAAAAGACCGTGCGGATCATTTCTCACCCGTAGTCCGCCATAACCCCAGCATCTCACATTACATAAACGGTAATCTAACCCTAAATTAAAATTGTTATAAAACGTAAGGTGCTTCGCTAATCGCTTAATATATGACGTACCAAAAATCGCCACCTTTATCGGTCTAGATACAGGAAAGGAAAGTTGCAAGCAGGTAACGCTAAATAATGGTGCCGAACGTTCCATTCGTACCTTGCAGACAAACACAAAGAGAATCAAAACGAGGCTCTAATGGTGTAGCACGTACCAAGAATTTTGAAACAATTACAAAGTTCCACAGTCGTCAAAAAGTATACGTAAAACCAAGAGAACAACAAATTGTAAAACAAATTACTTAGCTGGTAGAACAGTCGTAATAAAAGACCAAAAATCACTGTATTGAAATTTCTCAATAAACATTTTTCTGGATTACTTTCTGACAACACTAAGCACCACTTTACTCTATGACTGCGTTTGCTGGAATGTTGGAAGCGCGATTGAAAAGGCGGGAAATCCTAGCTGGCTCATTTGCATAATATAATCAAGCAGTAAATAAATGGAAATAATCTGATTGGATAAAAAACACAAACTACATTATTTACAATAATGCTTATTTATGGCCATATCATAGCCTTCAATAATAAGAACAGTATAACAAACCAAACGGAAATTATGATGGAATAATAAATGACTGTTCCTCGAGATATTCGGTGAAACCTTCAAATGTATGATCTTAGCGCATTATTTTATTTTATTACCGAATTTTCAGTAAGATATGACGACAAGCATGTTAACCTGTTGTTATTTAGCCGAAAATAGACACCATAGTCGGTTCATTGTGTTATCAATCAATCAATAATGAGCCGATTCTATCCTCATTTATTAGTTGCCTTTTTATAATGAATATCTTACCTCAATTATATGCATTGCAGATTTTTCTGGATGTTTGCGACTCTTTATCGCTCGAATCTAAACATCCAGAAACTTTGCACATGTCCAAATTGCTGAATATAGTAGGGCAGATGATGGGCTATGTGGAAGTTTATGTTCTAAAATAGAAAAATATAATTCATGTTATAATATAATCCGGTCGGTATTGTAAAATCATACTAATATATTTAGAAGTAATGTGACTGGCTACACATTTCTGGGGACCATAATAAAGATTGTGTACCAACACTAATTATGTTCTCACTATAAGAGTTAAAAACTAGATAATGTAAAGGGAATATTCTGAATATTACAGTCAAATTGGTCCACTCAGAAACGTGATATTAGTTTATTTTAGGTATACGATAAAAACCAAAAGGCTCGATTATCAATTTTGAATTAAAACAACAATGAACGTTGAGCAGCAATAAATCGGATTCAAATCTATTGAAAATCCGACACGTAAATGGCAACGAGAGTTCGAGTGGACGTTTCTCTCTCTCTCTCTCTAAAGAAATACCTGCAATAGGCAGATTTAGTGAAATGGGGACTATAAAAAACACATACACACCTGAATGGACATTTGGAAGTCCCGCTCAACCCTGGCTACTGCGACATGCCACTCTCATTCTATTATGCTCGCTAATTCTGGTTTGAGGAACAGCAGACTGAGGTTATAACAGACGTTACTTAATGTCTCCTGTTGTCTGTGGTTCATTATAATACGAATACAGAAATTCAAGATCCCAGTAGTCATAACCTATAAATAAAATGATAAAATGATTTAATTCAAGTAAAAATTAGACAATGCCATGGAAAAGACTAATGTCATTGATGGAATAATTACCCATATTGATAAAAACTAAAAAAAAATGCTTACCCGTCATCGGCGGGTAATCTTCTCTTAGCTTTAAATAAATTTAAATAAAAATATATATATAGAGCACGACATATAGAAAATAAGTCAGGATATCACATTGTGTTTACCATACTGTTCAGAATCAATATAATTAAATTAGAGTTTCTTTTCCAAAGATTTAATTAATTAATTATCATATTAATTAAATCTTTGGAAATGAAACTCTTTACTTGTAACTCATATTCATAAATAAACTCACTGTGTTTTGCTGAAATCACCCAATTTCAACCTCCGCAGCCAAAACCTTCGCCGAGACGTCGTCACCATTTAACAGTTTGATGATGGATGAAGCTATTCCCTGAGGGAGTGATAAAGAAGAAATTATAGACCCCTTTATCGGCTGTGAATGGGTAACTTTTTCTCAACATTTCAAGGCCTGTATACTAATATTCGTGTGGGGCAGAATTAGAAGTTATGATGATTTCTGATAATTACTTAATGGGTTGTTTTACTCATAACTAGATTTTAGTGTGTTGTAAATGTTTTCATTACTGACAAAAGAAAAAAATATGCAACAACCTTATTGCCTGCCCGAACGACTTAGCTGCTTGGGGTATATGTTTCATTTCCTGGCAAGTGCAACCTATCTTTCAGCTCATTCTCTGTCCATCTCTTGCAGTCTTGCAAAATGTAGGCATATCTTGCATGGCAACCGCTTGTCATTTTATGTGCTAAGAGATTTTGATGATGTTTGTTTCAGCAATATGCATTAACATGTTATGGGAAAGTTGATTCTAATGGTTCACGCTATCTACTGGGTGATATGGCTGGTCGTTTATTTATGCTATTACTAGATAAAGAAGAAAAAATGGATGGTACAGCTTTTGTCAAAGATTTGAAAGTTGAACTTCTTGGAGAGGTATGTTGAACATGACTTGTAGTTTAACATCTATCAACCAAATACTTGTATTTACAATAAAAATAATAATTGGAAATTTATGTACCAGGAACATAAGTGGAAACGTGAGAATTAAGTTTATAACTAATGTGTTTAAATGATACATCCGTGACACTATATGCAGAGGCATAGCCGTGAAATATATATTGGGGGGGTCCGCAACCCTAACCCCTAACCCTAACCCTAACCCTTTTTTAAAACCCCTAAAAAATATGAACAAACACCATGAGGCCATGCTGTCTACACATCTCGTTTGCTGATTGGCCCAGACACCGCCAACGTGGCTGACTGAGTGGGCGATAAATATTTGGTTTAGGCGATAATGTTTTTGGGTACCTACATGCGATTCACTCTGATAAGTGGCAGAAAAAAATTAACAAAATATTACTGACAGGCTAACTAGACACAATTTTATGGAACACAGTTACTTTTCAACTCACACGTTTCCAGGATGATTCTCTCTGTGTTTTATTTTAGCAATGTAAACCATATTGGGATATGTACAGGTTTTATACAGTAGTTTATTCAAAGTAGGTCAACTTACTTGTAACAAAAGCCATCATTGACCAATTTTGCCCGAAAATGTAGCCATTTTGCCGAAGGAAGCCCCGCATGTAACCTAGACCAAAACCAGTGTTCTTAATCGGCTGTTTTTTGTCGGCTTTAGCCGATTGATGTTTAATCTACCCAATTGGTAAAACAATGAACCGGCCACTATGGTATCATAAATCAATCTACTATTGGCTAAATTACATTGGGTTAATTAAATTATTACATGTTAATTAAGAAGTCAATCAACTTGCTTGTCGGCTACAACAACAGCCATACCTTAGTGAGAATCGGCCATGTGGTTCATAATCTGAGTAGCTTAATTAGCACATTTAACGGTAATTTGGATAAAACAAGCTTGCAGATTATTCATAACAGGTTCAGTAAGCTGCTTTTGTAAAAATAGCCCACATGGCGAAAGAAGACGATCTCTGCATGGTTTGCCAATCTAGCGTCTTCGCAAGCTCCGTATGAATTCCAGGTAACGGTAGATATTAAAATAATAACTGGATCAACAGCCATACCTTAGTGAGAATCGGCCATGTGGTTCATAATCTGAGTAGCTTAATTAGCACATTTAACCGTAATTTGGATAAAACAAGCTTGCTGATTATTCATAACAGGTTCAGTAAGCTGCTTTTGTAAAAATAGCCCATCTGGCGAAAGAAGATGATCTCTGCATGGTTTGCCAATCGAGCGTCTTCGCACGCTCCATATGAATTCCAGGTAACGGTAGATATTAAAATAATAACTGGATCATACATTGATGGATTCACCGACCAGTTGTAAGGTAAATTTATATCTTCATTGAGTATAATCCACTGATAGAACACTGAATACACCAAGAAACAGTCATTAATAATATATTTTTTCCTATAGAATGTCCAATGCCGAATTCCAATGACGCGTGACATATCGCTTGGAATTAGGTCAATAAACCAGTTTTAAATAGTGTTTTTTTATTATCTACACATTCTGACAAAGGCTTAATTTTAAAAATATTGTCTTTTTTATTGAAGGCTATATCACTATATCATAATTTTACGGAATTTTATTTTAAAGCAATTTCAATTATGGTTGTCACGTGACAACATACTGCACGCAGTGATCCATCTACAGAGCTAGCTGTAGACAGGCAGCCTAAGTTTGGGATGACTTGACAATTGTGCCGTTTGTCTATTATCGACGAATGAATAAAAACCTTTGCAAGTTATGTGACTAGTTACGTGATAGACAAAAAACTACAAATTGTGTTATGAAGAAATGTCATGGTGTCGTATCAGTTTATTTTGGCTGCAGCATAGTAGGAAAATGCTAATATTTTTGATCACCAACTGATGAAACACGAAAGTTTCATCGAATAAACGAAGATAGTAATTTATTCAGTATTACTGACGTGAACTTGAAAGCTGGTACATGAATTAAATATGGAAAATTTTCGAAAGGTGTACCTAATTGTCGTTATTTTTGTGGTAATCACATACATCAGAATACGACATTCTCCATAACAAATTGGAGGGCCTGACAAGGACAGCTGTCTAGTCCTTCAGATGACACGCAAACCGAGGTCCCGTGTATACATTGGAATGCACGTAGAAGATCCCTTGGCAATTGGAATTCGATATAAGAGTAGGCGATAGTGCCGCTGCCGGGCAAAATTTTCTCATAGCACACTGTATGGCATATGCCCGTCTTCATTAGCCCAGTATAGGAGCAGAACAGTAGGACGTTAAACCCCATTTCATTTCATTTCCATAACAAATTACCAAGAATTATTTTGTGGAATGGAAGATTAAAATTAACCCATTTCCTACTGGGAACTCAGTTGAGCCAATTTTGGTCGGTTCGTTTCAAAATGGATTAAGAACCCTGACCCGGCGTAATCTCCTCTTTCTATTTATAGTACTCATTATAATATTCAACACCACTATTCAGTGAATAGCAGCGTTTAGAATTGTAAACAAACCTGCCTTGTTGCTATGTGACGTCGTTGAGGTTGTGACCCTGTGTTATCAATAATGTGACCCATCTGTCGCGACGTCTGATTGGTTGAACTTTGGCGAAATGTATGAACGGCTTGACAGCTTTTCATTTGTCTGCATCGGCCTGTGTTCCAACAATGGAACGATCTTGTTTTGTATTATTTTTGTGACAACATTAAACAAGAACATTCCCAAAAGCATGATTTTATTGAAATTACGTATGTTATGTTGAAATCTGATGTTCTTAACAATTGTGCCAAGTTTAGTGGCAGTTTGACATTTTTATACGCCCACATTGAAATGTGGTCGTATATTGTTGTCGCCCCCGTCCGTCCGTTAAGTTAATATCCGATTGACTTTAAATTTATACACAGTGTTTAAGGTCATGAGATGAAGAAGCCTATTGATTTTCAGCAATTTCCGATAATTACTGCCAGAGTTATGAACCTTGATCACTTTAAAAAATCTTGTGGACACTCTAGAGGTCAAAGTTAATATCCGATTGACTTTAAATTTATACACAGTGTATACACAGTGAGACGAAGAAACCTATTGCTTTTCAGCGATTTCCGATAATTACTGCCAGAGTTATGGCCCTTGATCACTTTCAATGCTATTAAAATCAACAAAATCGGAGCATGTTAAGTGACCTCGCCGGGCATTTGAAAATGGTATACATCGAAAAATGTTTTGGAAAATAATTAATAATGTAGTTTGGCATGTGATGATGTCATTTCAACACGTGAAGAAAAAAATAATTTCAAGTTCCTAAGACCCATATTCACGGTAAATTACGTCTAAATGCAACTCATTGTTCATTTATGAAATAAGCGTTATGTTATATGAATAAATGACTTGACTGAAAAGACATAATGATAGATAATTCACGGTAAATTACGTCTAAATGCAACTCATTGTTCATTTATGAAATAAGCGTTATGTTATATGAATAAATGACATGCCTGAACAGACATAATGATAGATAATTCCATTATTTTAATGCCTCTCAACAAGGGTCCCCAATGTTTACATCACGTGACTCATATTCGCGCGCTTTTATCGAAGGGAAATTTCCTCTCAGCTACCACACGCCTTTACATTTAACATGAAATATTTTTCAACCGTTAAAAAATTGTCAAACATAGACAAGTATTTCAATGTTCTGAATTACTTAATTCTCTGTTCATTCCTAATTTGAAGTATTTAATTTGCACACGAATGAAAATGAAATTGGAAAATATCAACACGGTATGGGAGAACCATTTCCGGTTGTGACTTGTATTTGTCTGAAGGAACGGACTTGCGGATAATAATAACATGATTTCTGACCATTGTAATACCCAAATAAAGTTGGAATGGCAAAAGAATTAACACCAACAAAAAATAATTTAAATAATGGCTCAAATTCTGGAATTTCCGTTGATGATTTACAACATTTCGTTTGAGATTAATGCCGTGATAAGTCAATAAAATGGCCGTACAGTCCGTCAGTCGGATACCTGATTGTTACAAAGGCAATTATTCAATATTTTATCATTATATATCGGTTTTCATACTAATTATTTATATGTTTAATTCATTGTAATTTTGGGAAAATACATGTATTTAACACCAAATTTTATTTTATCATTATATATCGGTTCTCATACTAAATATTTATATATTTTATTTGTTAGCCAGTAAAAAACAAATTGAATCTAGGCCGACAAACACAGGGTGAAGGCTTTATTAAATTTATTAGGCCTAGATTTGATGTTGTTGACGAAAATATACGAATAAAAAAAGGGGAGTTGCTCCACGATAGTCTACATTTGGAGGAATAATGAAAATGTTCAAATGTAAAGTAGACCAACATTGTAATAAAATAATTCTTCCAGTCAAAATTTTTAGCATTAGTGCCACCCTAGGCCTACATGTACCTTAACCTACTGTCGTATGGGTACCTATCTAGTCTTCTTTTAAAAGTTTTACAGAATTATTTAGATGCACCACAAATAATTTGTTTTTATTGGTCAATGTTGTTAGATAATAATGTATTGAAATAGAAATCTTCTTGTAACATGTAAGCAATACATGCAGAGAACAAACAATATTGAAACAACAGTTACCGGTATGTTATTTTTATACGCCCACATTGAAATGTGGACGTATATTGCCGTTGCCCCCGTACTTCGGTCCGTCCATCGTCCACAATTTCTTGTGAACGCTCTAATGCCAAAAGTTATCATCCAATTGTTTTAAAATTGATATATGTTGTTTACATTAGTGAGATGAAGAAGCCTATTTAATTTCAACAATTTCCGTTTATTATGTCCGTTTATTATTGAACCTTGTGATTGCTCCAACGCCAAAAGTTATCATTCGATCTTTGTGAAATTTACATGCATTATTTAAACTGGTGAAACGAAGAAGCCTATTGAATTTCAGCAATTTCCGTTTATTATGTCTAGAGTTATGGCCCTTGTTTCACTTTATTAAACCTTGTGAACGCTCCAACGTCAAAATTTATCATCCGATCTTTCTGAAATTTATATGCTTTATTTAGGTTAGTGAAACGAAGAAGCCTATTGAATTTCAGCAATTTCTGTTTATTACGTCTAGAGTTATGGTCCTTGTTTCACTTTATTGATCCTTGTGAACGCTACAACGCCAAAAGTTATCATCCGATTTTTGTGAAATTTATATGCATTATTTAGATTAGTGAAACAGAGAAGCCTATTGAATTTCAGCAATTTCCGTTTATTACGTCTAGAGTTATGGCCCTTGTTTCACTTTATTGATCCTTGTGAACGCTCTAACGCAAAAAGTTATCACCCGATCTTTGTGAAATTTATATGCATTATTTAAATTAGTGAAACGAAAAAGCCTATTGAATTTCAGCAATTTACATTAATTACTTCTAGAGTTATTGCCTCTGTTTCACTTTGTTTAACCTTGATAATGCTCGATTGATGATAGTTATCATCCAATATGTATGAAATTTATATGCATCATTTAAATTTGTGAAACAGATCTATTGAATATCAGCAATTTCCGTCAATGGCGATTGTGAACGTTTGAACGACAAAAGTGATCATGTGATCTGTATGAAATTTATATGCATTATTTAAATTAGTAAAACGAAAATGCCTGTCAAATTTCAACAATTTCTGTAGATTACTTCCAGAGTTGAGACCCTTTTTTCAGTTTGTAGAACCTTGTTAACCCTCAAACGACAAAATTTATAATCTGATCTGTATGGAACTGTCTTGTAAAGGCCCCCATTTACGTTCAAAGGAATAAATATGCGACAACCCTTGACGACCGCTCGGACGATTTAGCTGCTGTGGGTGTATGCTTTGTTGCCTGGCAACCTATCTTTAAAATTATATAGTTGCTATGGCAACCACCCAAAGTTCTTAATATTTTACTAAAAATTATGCAATTTATAACAATTATACAATTTATAACATTTAATATCACATTGCTTTTAGATATGCTTAAAGCTTTCTTTAAAATGGGGTGACCAGTGATCACATGTTAACTCCTTAATATTTTGCTCAAACTTATACAATCCATATCATTTGACATTACTTGGGTTTCAAATTAGAAATACTTAATTTTAAAAATTCACAAACTTTTTGACATACTGGTTTACTAAAGGGATTGGTGTATTATCTCCATAAGAAATTCAAGGTTAAAAAGGACACATTTAATTCAAATTGCTGCAGGGAGTGGAATTGTCGATAAAGATTATGTAAAGAGGGATGCCTTAAATCGAAGTATTCAAAAGCTTGTAAAAGAAATAAAGGAGAGAGAAAAGAAGGGCTAACCTGAAACAAGATGGACACCTTGTTATTCGTCTTTCAAATGAGGAATTCAGAATTCCATGTTCGAGTCGGTCAGTTTCTTCAACTGTTTCCCCCGGTACCAGTGCTAGAGAACTGTTTCCGTCTCCTCTTGCTACTTCGTCGACTGGAAAAAGAAAACTTCCCTGTACTCAGTGTAAGTGAACCATCCCCCAAAAAGCTTAAGTCTGATTGCAGTAAATGCAAACACAGACGAAAAGCAGTTAATCAATTAAATTTAAAAAAAAAAAAACAATTAGGAGGACTTGGATGAGAGCTTTCTCTCTAGTTATAAAACCAGTGCCTTGAATCGAGCTCTAAAAAGGAAGCGTATTATTGAGTTCAACCTGCGAAAAGAAAAAATGACGTTGAAATCTGACCTTGTCCTAAAAAATTCAGTTGTAAGAAATTTGGAAAGGAGTATTGGAGAAAAACCAAAAGAAAAAAAGAAGAAGCATACACTGTAAAACTTGTATCGTTTAATAAGGGGTTTTTAGCGATAAAAACTATGCATATAGTTTAATTTCAAAACATCGTTTGATATTGATAAAAATCATTTGGAAATTCCAAAAATCGTTTAATTAGTACTATAGTTTAATTTAATGGTACACCGTTTATTTTCTCCGAGAGGTGTTTAGAAATGGCCGAAGCGTTGACTTATCTAATGCGTTTATCTATTAGACGAGCAGTCCAATTTCCCGTGAGGCGTTTAAAAATCAACACCTGTTAATTTATCTACTATGTTTAACTATTAGATGAATCATTTATTTTACCGCGAGCCGTTTATCCGATCAGTTCATTTTGATAACGATTATTTGCATATGAAGTGCGAATAAAAATGGTGAATATAAAAAAAAGCAAACCCATAGATGCTCGCCTTACCGTGGTCGTAGTATTATTATCCATTATCCATTCAAAATAGTAATTCCGCTATTGACAAATAATCAAAAATCGGTAAATCACATTTGAGATAATTATACATTTGGTGAATATAAAAAAAACCCACATCCATAGATGCTCGCCTTACCGTGGTCGTAGTATTATTATCCATTATCCATTCAAAATAGTAATTTCGCCATTGACAAATACATCAAAAATCGGTAAATCACGTCCGAGGTAATTATACATTTGTAAATCACATTTCGTTCGTTCGTTCGTTCCTGGAGTTTTACGTCCAGTTCCACCTGAGGTGATATCGTAGACAAGTCACACACATCCCAGGTAATGTATCTTCTTTAAATCACAAATGAATTAACTTCCACCTGTAGACGTCACAGGAAGAGATTGAAGTCAACCCCGCAATGTAATGTTGAACGACGATAATCTTGTCGCCCATTTTCATGTAGGTCAAACAGTATCAACAGGAAATATGCTTCAATGAATACTGCCTTGATGTTACGTAAACACTTGCCTGCAGTACAACGATTTTTGTTATACCCAAATCAAATCATATTGTATTAAATCAAAGGTACATTATCACTACCCCAATATATGTACCCGTATGGTATAACAAAAATAATTTGTTGGGCAGGTCATAACCCTGATTGGGCAACGGTGTTAAAAAACAATATACTAAAAGGGAAAAGAAAAAAAAAAGCGTGACCCTTCTCTACCGAAAAGCCTCAGCATGCCAGATAAGTTTAAGGCCATACACAATCAAAAGTATTATTTTAAAAAAACAAAACAACAATACTGTATTTAATAATATTCACGGACTTGAAATAATTCACGTGTATTACAACCCATGTATAATTAACGAGAATTTATATACTTCACCAGTATTTGATATACTAGCGAGTATGTCACCTGTCCGAGTCTGAAACTCAGGCCATTTTTATTTGAGTCCGAAATTACGCAGGACCGAAATGACATGTAATGAATACACCATGCGTAAATATAATTCTCAATTGCATGAAAATTCTTAAACAAAAACATAAAAAAATCTCAAGTAATTACGCATTGTTTGGATTGCTTCATTTAATTAGCTAAGTGAGAGTTCGGTTGTATTTACATACGTAATTCAATTTTAAATAAAATGTTAAACACTTAATTAATTGCTATGGATTAATAAAAAAATGATAAACTGAGTGAGATGTAGGAAACATTATATACCGGTAACAATTATGGAGCTTCTTGTATATATGATGTAATAAAAACATTATAGTCAATGATAAAAAAAATCAGTTCCCGAGAAAAGTATGATAATTCTTTAACAACCAATGGTTTTCTCAAATTAGTTTAAAATTAATACAGACATAAATCATTAAATGGTTATAAAGTTGTGATACCTGACCAAAAGTTGTTACATGCATGTTTTTCTTGAAAAAATATTAAAATTAAAATGAAAAAGACCGAGAATAAGCTTACGGTCACATACATGTATAATTGTGTTAACTCGTCCACACAAATCCGAATTTATATCATTGCACCTAGAATTCCGTATAAGAATCAGCTTAGAATACCAAAATGCGAATCGTAACACATTGTGGTCTAAACTGTCATAAAATAAATGATAAATCAATGGAACCTGTTAGAAGTTGGTAATGTTGGTTTATTTAAGGCGCCACGTAGTCTTAACAATTGAATACAACACGTCTCGAAAAATCGGCTACGTGCAAATGTATTCTTTGATCTCATATCACGGGGCAATTCTGTGACCCACCTGCATGAGGCTAAAAACATTACAAGTTCTGCCATGATAATTTCGTTGCACTTCTCGCAAACCGACGAATCGGATATATTTAAGTGTTTGAGATCGCTTTATTTAACGCCCGCTTCCACTGAGGCGATATCGCAGACAATAACATGTTATGTATACATGGTGCAATATTTGTCCCCCGCCTTTCGAAGAAAGCAGGGGACTATTAAAATGGGTTCGTCCGTCTGTCCGTCCGTCTGTCTGTCCGTCTGTCTGTCCGTCTGTCCGTCCGTCTGTCTGTCCGTCACACTTTTTGGGACACAATAACTCTCTTCCTAATTGAGCTAGAATGTTCAAACTTGGTGTATGTGTTTATTAGGTCAATGCCTTGATGGAGTTCGAAGATGAGCATTTTCCGCTTAGGGTAAGCAGAGATAAGCAATTTGATTGGTTGATGCTTTGGGACACGATAACTCTCTTCCTAATTGGGCTAGAATGTTCAAACTTGGTGTATGTGTTGATTAGGTCAATGCCTTGATGGAGTTCGAAGATGAGCATTTTCCGCTTAGGGTAAGCAGAGATAAGCAATTTGATTGGTTGATGCTTTGGGACACGATAACTTTTAATTGAGCTAGAATGTTCAAACTTGGTGTATGTGTTTATTAGGTCAATGCCTTGATGGAGTTCGAAGATGAGCATTTTCCGCTTAGGGTAAGCAGAGATAAGCAATTTGATTGGTTGATACTTTGGGGCACGATAACTCTCTTCCTAATTGAGCTAGAATGTTCAAACTTGGTGTATGTGTTGATTAGGTCAATGCCTTGATGGAGTTCGAAGATGAGCATTTTCCGCTTAGGGTAAGCAGAGATAAGCAATTTGATTGGTTGATGCTTTGGGACACGATAACTCTAGTTCTAATTAAGTGAGATTGATGAAACTTGGTGTATAGTTTCATTACAGTAATACCTTGACTAAGTTTGATAATGAGCATTTTCTGCTCAGGGTAAGCAGCAATTTGATTGGTTGATACTTTGGGGCACGATAACTCTCTTCCTAATTGAGCTAGAATGTTCAAACTTGGTGTATGTGTTGATTAGGTCAATGCCTTGATGGAGTTCGAAGATGAGCATTTTCCGCTTAGGGTAAGCAGAGATAAGCAATTTGATTGGTTGATGCTTTGGGACACGATAACTTTAGTTCTAATTAAGTGAGATTGATGAAACTTGGTGTATAGTTTCATTACAGTAATACCTTGACTAAGTTTGATAATGAGAATTTTCTGTTTTCGGTAAGCATAGCGATACGCAATTTGATTGGTCGAGACTTTGGAAAACAATAACTCTCCTACTTTGATTGTTAGACTATAAGTAAAGATATACTGTTTGATTGTTCAATACTTTGTAAAAGATAATTTGTGATAAATTTATATGTGTCCTCTAATTATTTTCCTATTTCGGCGGGGGACATCAGCCTCACTGTTGGCTTGTTTACATTGTGATTAGTTAAAACAGGGATTAAATAATTATTAGATATTTATATATATGCACAGTAAAAAAGGTATTGAGATTCGTCTTTTAACTACGATTATCATATTAGTCATTAATCACCTCTGAATCTATATCCCCATACACATTAATTACAGAAAGGGTCTGTGTATACAAGCCATTGTGAGCGATTCAATTTTTAGTCATCCGATGGTTATTTTGAAAATACACGTACAATACAAAGTCATAAACGTCCGCTGTGACAGTAAAGATTAATTATTTGATTGGTCGAATGCTATTGTTTCATTAATTCCCACCTGTGGCCACCTGTCTAGGTACTATATGAAACCATGTTTTTGAATACACATTCCGTTATTACAGTATGGATTAATGCTTTGATTGCTCAAATGCTATTGTTTTATCACTTCCCACCTGCATTATTTGTGATTGTTTTTAGTTATAAATCCGTTTCGGGGACTTTGAGTTAGTACCCAAATTGACACAAAAATATAACCCTGCTGTCCAATCCCCGTTAATGTGACCCATTATTTTTTTAATACCATACATGTACATATATTGTAATAGTGATAAATGTACCTTTGATTTAATGCAATATGTTTTTTTTTGTTCTGACACTATTTGTTCAATGATTATTTACATATTATAAAAGTACACTATATGATTGTGGGATCTGAAAACAAGCCAGGGCTTATATAAATTCATCTCCCGAGGAAATTATTTACAATAAAATATAAATACTTTGTATAAGATTGTAATCATAAATCGCAAACTGGTATAAAAATACAAGGTAAAAGTGTTGACTCTCATTTAATTAATCAAAACGTTATATTGGATATAGTATAAATCAGTTAAATTACGGAATGTAGTAGAAACGTAGTTGGGTTAGCGAAATGATTATCTGATGTTCATAGCACTGAAAGGGTATGAGAAACAATGGTTGTGCTAGTAGGAGAAAGAAAATATTCTTGCGATGGGCGGCA